AGGACTGTAAACGGGCTAACACCGTTGTACTAATGCGTGTCCTACTTTTGATAATTGTATCACTGCTAGTCGAGATGTTACCACTGGGAGAGGCTGGAAGAAGGGTCCACAGGACCTCTGTCCTCGTCTCGCAACTTCAATGTGAGACACACCCGTCTTCTCAGAAGAAAATTCAGAGAGCAGAGGTAGTGGCACTGAGAACGGGAGGGTGCTCAGCACGCGCTGGGCGGCTGCGGCTGGTGTGCACGGACGCGGCCGACGCCGCAGACCGGCCTTCTCGGCCGCGCGGTCCGAGCTCCTGCTCCTCAGCCTCAGGACTCAAGCGGTGAAGACGCGGACGTCACAGCAGCAGGCGCCCGTCGTGCCCCGCGGTGTCCCGGGCGCCAAGGCCAGCACCTCAGCACCCCGCGCCCGTGCCCGGAACTGGCGCCCTCGGCCTGAGGGCTGCCCACTCGCGGTGCTCCCACTGCTACCTCACGGTCCACGCACGTACCCTGACTGCAGGCACGCACCGTGAGGACGCTGTCACCTCCCCTAGCGCTCCACTGTCACTCACGCGGTAGCTAGCAGGTGTCCCGAATTGGTCACCTGTACCGCCCTGTATCTGCTTAAGAGGGACAGGGGCTGTCACCTTCCGATCGAGAGGGAGGGTCTACCGGAGGCCTGAGGATAGATCAGAGCCTCCTGTGTCCAAAGCACGAACTAGAGCATAACATACAAACGCCCTGGAGAAGGGAGGCGACTTCAAACCGCCGAGAAGATGTTCCACAGAGCCATAGCTTAAGCAGGAGTCTGGAGAGCCAGCGTAGCTCAGACTGCTCCCCGCGGCTCCAGGGAGGCCAGGACCCCCTGCGCAAGGCACCTGCCGAGCACTCACCTGGCCCTGCATATTCATGATGACCACGGTGTTCGATCTGTTGCACACCACGAAGTGCTCCGGGTTTTTAGGAAGCAGAATCACACTGTTGACCGTAATGTCAGTCCCCGCAGTGCTGCCCAGGGATTTAAAGGTATTTGAACATTCTGTAGTCTTCATATTCCAGATCTACCAGAAACAAAATGAAAGCATAAACATTTTTTGAGTACAAAAATTTCTACAGTGTTACCGCTTAAAAAGTTAGGTTACTTTTTTTTTTTGAGACCAAGTCTCACTATGTCATTCAGGCTGGCCTTGAACTTACTATGTAGCCCAGGCTGGCTTCAAATTTACAGCAATCCTCCTGCCTCAGCCTCCTGAGTGCAAGTTTTACAGGCATTTGCCACCACACCTGGCAGGTTACTATGAAAGAGTAAAACTGACTCCAAAAAAAAAAAAAAGCTTTTTACTTGATTCTAAGTATAACAATAACCAGGCTTGCCAAGTGTATGGTAAGCACTTCTATTTGCTGATTGACTGGAATAAACAAGATGAAAGTCACACTGGGTACGGTGGCGCACACCGTGGTAGCTGTAATCCCTGCTACTTGGGAGGCTGAAGCAGGAGGATTAGAGGTTCAAGCCCAGCCTGGTCTATTTAGTAACACCCTGTGACAAATAATAATGGCTGGGGACATAGCTCAGCAGGAGCGTACTTGCCTAGTGTATCTGGGGCCCCAGGTTCAATCCCTACTAGCACTGCAAAAAAAAAAGTCGCACACTTAGCAATAAAAACCTTTTAAAATCTACGCTCTTTTCTTGCCAATTTTCCCTACTTAACAAAACTACCTTTATCTTTGAAATGAAGTTACCTATCAACACTGCTACTATCATAAACAACCAGACGGCTAGCCTTGTGTGGACATCAGAACCAAAGGGGAACTTCTTGGGCTCAGGGCCCTGCCCTCAGACGCTGGTCTGGGAGGTCTGGAGGGAGACACCGGCATGACGTCTTTTAAACTCCCAGCAGTGATGCCAACGTGCAGCGTGTGCTGAGAACTGAACAGAGTCGACAGCACCCCCAACAAGGACCAACGAAGTGAAAGCCACTCCGCTCGTATCAACTCTCGCAGTTTTCATGTTGTCCCCCTGGGCTCTGACGTACGGAGGAGTTAATAATTTAATTAATAGTTAATGATAATAATTAAGAGTTATTAATAATTTAACTCTGGCTAATGCCCAGAAATCTGAAGAGTGCTCCGAGAAGAGATGGGTCCAACATGGCAGGGCACTGTCCAGATGCCACTCATCTGAGAGGCACAAGACCTCTGAGGCACGCTGTCACGTTCCCTCCACGCCTAACACAGCTGGGCACCACACGGACGTTTAGTAATCTCCACAAGCAAAAGGCAACAGCTGTCCTACTAGTGCCCAGTGTGGAAGCCATCACCTGCCCCATCTCCGCATCCCAGCTGCCTATAAGAAAATGAACATTTCAGGGATCGAGAGTTCCAAGGCTTCTAGTGTTTTCTGCTCAAAAGGTCAATGAGGTTCTTCGCCCCACTTATTACAGAACTGAGGAGAATGAACACAAACCAGAGGCCTATGCAAGCCACCTTCCAAAGGCATTTGCAAACGATGAATGTGTAGCACAAAGAGGCAGACCCCTTTAGTAAAATAAAGCACTAAGAGCTCTCCGTGTTTTCCCATTCACCCGGAGAGAGAGCACATCCCCTGCTTTCATATTTCTGTATCATTCTCCAATTAAGAACAATTTCAGGGCCAGGGATACAGCTCAGTGGCACAGCGCCTGCCTAGCAAGCACAAGGTTGTGAGTTCGATTCCCGGTACCAAAAAACAACAAAAAAAACAATTTCAGATGGTGGTCTGACATTTGAGGGCTTATGTTAACGTATCATCCACCACAAAGCACATTCACATATAAGACAATTTAAAAGAAGCAGGTTCAGAATGTGAACAAATGAATGTGAAAGATCTCTAGCAATATTCTACCTCTATTTTTCCTATCTTTTCCAGGAAATGAGCCCCTCTCTTTAAATAATTAAATGCTTTAAGATGCTGACAATCCATTACTTTCAGGTGAGAGCTGAGAGCAGTACACAACCAAGAGACAGCTTAGTTCTACTCCGTAACTCCCCTATTTCCCTACAAATGTTCTTAGGAAGGTCCTTAATTTGGAGCCAGGGTGGGGTGAAGTCATGCAACAAAAAGACGTATTTATCTGGCCACTGAGCCTTTTGTGGATGCGGCTGTGAGTAGCCACATCCACGGCCAGTAAGATTTCAGCACTCTGAATGAGGGATCACGTGTGCGTCACGTGTCGCACATTTTCTACTTCTCTGCACACGGTGCACTGTGTTTGGATTACACAGGTTTGACATCTGTTGGCTGACATAACCAACAGATCACCACAAAATGTTAATCGTGTCTCAGACACAACTTAACTAGAAAAAGAATTACTCCACCATAATCATCACCATTAGCTCTACTGCAATCTCCTCAACGGACAAAGATAAAACAAACATCACAAATGAACCAGTAGAAATACTTCACCTTTACAGTGCCATCAGAGGATGCGCTGATAATATAATGTCCATCTTGTGTAAATGTTGCTTCATTAACAAAGGAGGAATGACCACGGAATTCCTTCAGGGTTTTCCCAGACTTCAAACCATGAATTCTACCACAAATAAAAGAACAATTAGTATTTCGTATTTTATGGTGGAGACCAAGTGTTGTATTTGCGTGTATTTTAGAAGCTTAAAAGATAACATTAAGTGAAGAAAAAGGGCTATCCAATCATGTATGCAACATAATTGTAACTATACCAAATAATGAAAGAAAACCCCAAAAACTACACTGAAAGAAATGGCAGGAAAATGTCACTGATAGGAGCTTCTCCTCAGGGTTGACCCTCTAACACAGTGGTGAACAAGAGATTCACAACCAGTGGGTCCCGGCTGGGCACCAGGAATCTTACTTGTAAAGGCCTGGTCCTTTAAAGTGATGGTGATACAGCCGGGCCCACAGGCCAGGCACTCTGGAGAGCATGAATCACTGCTATGCTGCCTTTTAACGTCTCCTCTGGGAAGGACTCAAATGGGCCACAGAACAGTACTGTTAGCTATACTTGGGGAGATGAGGCTTCATTTAACCTTCCTCTCCGTAACACCTGATCCTGGTGAAGCTATAAACGATTACTAGTATCTCCTTCCTCCGGGCCCTCATTATATCAAACCCAAGTGGGGGTAATTCGAAGTCTTACTTACCTAATGGTTTGGTCAAAGGAGGCACTCAGGATCTGACTGCTGTCCTTAGAAAAGCTCAGACAGGTGACACCTTTACTGTGCGCTCTTTCGAATCTCCTTAAACACTGGCCACTCTGAATTTTCCAGACCTTTATTTTAAAAATAAAAAACTTGTAAATACAGTGTCCCACTAGAGCCCACAGAGCCAAGTAAGATGCAATGCTCAGTAATGTACCAAAACAGCATTAAAAATGCATGCTAACAGCTGAATAGGATATGTTTGGTTCACACAGTACAATGATAAACTGAATCCTTTGAAACTGAAAACTCTTTCCTTATAAATTATTAAAAGAAAAATTTAGACACTAAGCTCGCTTAGCAGAGACCATTCCTGTATTTTATCTAGCCCACGGTGTATTACCAGCACTCAAATACAAACCACACCTAATAGGCTATCCCTTATCCCCTAAAAAAAACAAAAAAGTAAAATCATATACAATCCACAATACACAGTGAGCCAGAGCGGTAGAGCAGAAAAGGCACGAGCAGATCTGAAGTCCCAGGTCTATCACTTGTCACCCGTTACGAGCTTAAGCATGTTAATGCAACAGGAAAGAGTTATTACCAGGATTAAATATGGAAAGTGATCAGCAAAAAGCTGATGCCTGACAAATAACGACTGCTACACTGAGCACCACGTGTAAGACGCCACCCGCTGCAGACTCTGCAAACTGTCCACACATGAGCGCCCACGTGGTTAAATCCACACCTTGATCTTCCCATCTTGGGCACCAGTTGCTAACATTTCTGTGTCTCTGCTGAAACACATGCAGAGCACAGCATCGTCCATCATCATGAAGTTGTCCTGCGCCTGGTACTTCAGGTCCTGGAGGAAACCACAGTGAGCAGTTACAAAGACAGGTCAAGGCTGTCAGCCGGCCCTAGACCGCCATAAATACCCACTATACGCAGCATTATGCAATATCCCTCCTCTAAACCTCCGAAGTCGTGTGTGTGCACATGTTCATAAAACTAACCGACACTGCTACAGATAAATAACTTTATATACTACGAACTAATTCTTTTCAAAACTGCCAACGTAAGCCAAGCTGGGTTTGGTAGCACACGCCTAAAATCCCAAGATTCTGGAAGGCTGAGGTAGACAGACCCCAAATTTAAGCCCTGCATGAGCATCTTAGTAATTCAGCATAATTCTGTCTCAAAATTAAATCAGGACTGGGTATGTAGCTCAGTGCAAAGGTCCTGGGTTCAATCTCTAGGACCTCAAAAAATAAATAGAGCAATGTAATACCATAGCTCTTTTACTTACTGGTTTTTTCAAGGCAAAGTTTCTCTCCAGTTTCATACTTTCCGTCTTTAATAAACCTGAATTCACTTATTTTGGGAAATGATATAAAAAAGTACAGTAGAGCCAGGCGTGATGCATATCTATATTCCCAGCACTCAGGAGAGGCTGAGGCAGGAGGATCGCCGTGAGTTCAAGGCCAGCCTGGGCTACGTAAGTGAGTAAAGACTAGCCTGTACTATATAGTGAGATTCTGTCTCCAAAAAAACAAAAAAAAGTAGAGTAATATATTTCTCCAAAGTGTTACCTATGTTTCCTAAAACCATTTACTATTTATTTGCAATTCTTCTTTGATTACCCATTATCGTTCAAATGGAAGTACTGATTATTTTTCCTAGTTATTCAGTAAGACTGCTTTGTGGTTCAAAAAGGAAAGCTGGCCAGGCACGCCTATACTCCCAGCAGTTCGGAGGCAGAGACAGGGGAAATGCTGCAAGTCTGAAGCCAGCTTGGGCTACACAGTGAATTCAAGGCCAGCCTGAACTACACAGCAAGACCCTATCACAAAAAAAAAAAAAAAAAAAGATACTTCACAGAAATATATTAAGTACACAATAAAAATCATTCATAAATCATTCTGCATTCCTTAGGAGAATTCAGTACTCTATGATAAAGGTTTCGTTGTTGTTTTGTTGTTTTCCAGTGGTACTGCAGACTGAACACAGGGCCCTGTGCGTGCCAGGCAAGCACTCTCCCACTGAGCCACATTCCCAGCCCAAGGTTATATTTTAAACCAGTTGATAAAAGTCAACAGTTACTTCAAAGCAAACTACACCAACTTTATCCTCCTAAATAAACCCTATATAGATCAAAAACTAAACGTAAGAAAAAACACAGTTTTACAAGAAACTGCAAGAGAAAAAAGGGCAAATTTGGTTTTTTTTGTCTTTTTGAGACAGGGTCTCGCTATGCAGTTCAGGCTGGCCTTGGACTCACTTTATAGCCCAGGCTGGTCTCGAACTCACAACGATCGTCCTGCCTCAGCCTCCCAAGTGCTGGGATTACAGGCATGTGCCACCACGCCCAGCTAAAAAAAGGGTAAATTTGATACAAAAAGAATTTTAAGTCTGTAAAATAAAACCATAAGCAAAGCCAAATGAAAAGATCAAGTCAAAATTGAAAAATATTTGCTATGCATATTTTGATTCCTCAAACTATAAAGCACTTCTACAAATAAAAACAGTCCAGTAGAGGGGCTGGGGATTTAGCTCAGCGGCAAAAGCACCTGCCTGGCAAGTGCAAGGTCGTGAGTTCGGTTCCCGGTACCGGA